CCACTAGTGTGGCATTTGAAAGTCTCCCATCTTCTCACCTATCCAGCATATTGTGTGGCGCTCAGTTCCTCCTCCTTCATTCTTTAGACCAGAGTGCTTGCTGTGTTTCTTCTTTGTCTACCTTGGTTTGGCACATAGTAAGGCTCTGTTCATTCATTCAACATTCAAGACAACTTTGGGGCCGGCCGAGTGGCTCTGTTGGTTAAGAGCTCGCTCAAGAGTTTGAGCTCTGAGCAACAGCAGTTCGATTCTCAGCCTGAGCTGAGCAGCCACTGAGCTGCCAACAGGTGGCAGGATGGCTCAGCTTAAAAAAAAAAAAAAAAAAGGACAACTTTGGGTACCTACTGAATACCAGGCACTGGGAACACAAAACCAACTAAGAAATGGTCCTTGGATACATGTTTGAATGAATGGACCCAGACCCAGCTCATGGCAGCCTCATCCATGAATGATGTCCTTTTGATTCCTTCTCATTGGAATCTCTAATTTTGGGACCTCGTTAGTGTTACAGCTGCACTCTGCAAAGTTTAGATCTGGACTGTGAATTCTTTGAGGCAGTGTAGAATAGTGGTTGAGAATGCAGGCTCTATCATCATTATTCTGTGTTGGTTCATATCCCAGTATTTTCACTTATCAACTTAACTCTTCTCAATTCATATACAAAGGTTAAAGATGAATTAAAATCCCTTTTAATTCTCATGGTTCTAGCCAATTAGTATTGTTGAGTAACAACAACAAACCTCAATCCAAACAAACTTAAAAACAACAACAAAAATCTCGGCCAGATCGGTAAGGTGCACATGAAATTAATTTCTAAAGAGCCATGAAGTATCTTACTAATTTATTGATAATATTGTTCTCATTGCTTGAGAAGAGGGAGGGTAGGATGTGGTTATTTTATTTTTTTTCCAATTGCACACACTATTGTTTTAAAAAACTTTGAAACAATCACAAAATTATGGATGTATAGTACAAATAACATTTTTTAATGACTCATTTGAGAGTTAAGTTGCTGACCTGATGCCCCGTCACCCCTGAGTACTTTAGGGGCATTCTTCTGTATAGCCACAATATAAGTACTAACATCAGAAAATTAACATTGCATTACTATTGCTAACCCTCAGGCCCTGCTTCTCCATGCCTGGGCACTGATCCTCCGTTCTGGACTGCCCAGTGTGTGGACGCCCTCATCCCCCTGCTCCTCCCCACACTAAGTCGCTCTTCTTTGCAGATTCCCTCCTCACCCAACTTAGGCTTTGACCCCACTCTGGGCCACCATTCCCCAGCTACACCTCCCATTCCCACATTATTCTTTTCTTGCTCTGCCCTTTGCTTTGCGAAGGGGTTGGCCAGTAACTGGGTCCCTATTGCTTCCCTATATAATATACTTGTTGAAAACATTCGGGTAAAATGAAGCACTTGAAAATTTTTCTGTGTCCAGAACTATTACAGGCAACTCCAAATGATGTACCTCAATCCTTGTCAATTTACTTGCTATTTTTAGTCTACAGATGTGGTCCTATCTGACTGAACTATGTTTATCTCAGTGTTTTATAAACTTTTTAAGACAGAACTGTTTTTTCCAAATGAAATCTTACCTGGAAGCTTAATAGGTAAACTGGATCAAAGCAGAATACACTGTTAAAAGTAGGTCCTCCTCCTGTAACCTCCATTCCTCCTTGCTACCATGGCCCATCCTATGGCTGGGAGGGCAAGTGGGAATCAGAATTAATTTGACCTCTGCCTAATTACCAAGAAGAGGCTCCTAGCTTTCCAGCTGCTCTTGGTGGAACCTCCCCCAACTTTGGTTTTTTGGGGGCTCTGCTCCTCGCACCTTTGGTATGGAGGCTTCTTTTGGTTGGTTGGCCTAGAGCCCTGCTTCTTTGGCCTTCTTGAACTTTATGCTCCCTAGATATTTCAGAATTGACTTTTAAAAATAAACGTCAATTAATTGAGGAGCTTCTGAATAACCACCGTAGAACCCTACATTTCTGTAGAACATAATGTGAAAAAAAAATGTAATCCCATTTTAAAATATGGCAACCTTCTCCTTTCCTGAATTGTAAACTTGTACTGTCATATTTCAGACTTTCCTTCAAAAATGCATGCCAGTTTCCTTCTTGAAGAATTGTGTAGCGTTTCTCAGGCTACTGTTCTGCAGAAGGAGCAAACAGGAGAGAGAGCTTTAATCTTAGCTGTCTGTATTTTTGTTACAGCAGAAATCTGCAAGAAGCAACTTAAGATTGTTTCTACTTTTATCGCTCTTTCCATTACCTTGGTGTAGAGAGGAATAGGTGATAGACTAAAGATGTTTGAGCTCAATTTAGATGTCCTAGCTGCTGATGCCTCTGGATTCTTACCTCACTAGTGTTGTAAGAGTTGGAGAGATAATTAAGGTTTCTTGACAGAACCATTGGCCTCAGATTAATAACCTCTGTTCTAGGATGTGATGTGAGGGATGCTGGGCAGAGGGAAGGGAAGGACTAGAGACTGCATAGCTGGGAAGTGAAAGAGGAACTATCCAACCGGACTGTGATTCCTGGATTTAACCTGTTTATCAGCCATTTCTTCTTTTTTTTTTTTTAAAGACTTTATTGGGGAATTTTGGGAGAGGGGAACAGCTTTGGGGAATTGGGAAAGGGGAACAGACAAGTTACTGTCCTTTTGTTCTTCAGTCTAGTTGTGGAGGACGTCGCTTCACTGGCCCATGTTGGTATTATCATCGCGCTCTTCTCGGGAGTGGCAGATTGGTCGCTGGCTACTGGATGGCCACTCATGGTGGCTCTTGGCAGCTCACGCTGGCTGCCAGCCACTCACGGTAGCTTATGGCAGCCCACTGCAGCCTCACTGCAGCTTACGTTGTCACCGGCGACTCTCAGCAACCCAGCTCCAGGTTGAGCTGTTGTTCACCATCTTAGCTGTAGAGGGGGCAGTGTCGCTGGCCCTCATGTGGGATCCGAACTGGGTCCCTGCTGCTCAGAGCTGGCGTCCCGGGCCAGCTCTTAACCAACGTGCCACTCAACAGGCCCTATCAGCCGTTTCTTAAGAACTGACAAATCTGCCTCCATCCTATCTATATGCTAGTAGTAAAGTAATAATGCCCACCTTTGGCTGACCTAACCAGAAAAGGGCAAGTTTATTATAAGGATACAAGGTTGTCATATGGAACTTGAGGGCAGGGATATTTCTGGGCCTTGGGATGACACTAGAACTAGGGTTTGGAAGGCTGACAGGATTTTCTTTCATTTCTGTTTCAAGTGAGGCAGTTTAGTTAATGGATGGTGATTGTAAATCAGGAAGACTTTCCAAAATTAGGACCCGAAGTCATCATCTGAAAGTGAGGCGTTGCGCCGGGAGTTAAGGAGAGAAGAAAGATATTTTCTTATAAAAACCTAAGGAAAATAGAATTTCAAGTCTTAATGGTGTCAAGTGTAATTGGGAGGAAAAAGAGAACTGAGGACAGTACCATTAGATTTATCTATATGTAGCAATGATTTATCCAGCAGAATAAAGGGGCTTGGTTGAGAGCCACTGATAGCTAGTTTCCTTTCTGTTTAAACACACAAGGCTGAGCAAGAGTACGTCTAAGGTCCCATTCAACTCCAAAGCAGTAAGACTTGCTACCAAGGCAGCATCAGCATCACCTGGGAGCTTGTTAGAAATAGGGAATCTGAGGCACCACCTCACGCTTATTGAATTGGCTTCTGTATTTTAACATGATTCTTAAATAATTAAATTTTTGGCGTATCTAACAATGGATTCTTATGTAGGCATTAAAAAAAGATGTGTGTTGGGCCAGCCGAGTAGCGCGTTGGTTAAGAGTTGGCTTGGGACGCCAGCTCCGAGCAGCAGGCCCCTGGTTCAGATCCCATATGAGGGCCAGTGACGCTGCGCCCTCTACAGCTAAAATGGTGACCAACAGCTCAACCTGGAGCTGGGCTGCCCTGAGTCGGGCGTAGGCTGCAGTGAGGCTGCAGTGGGCTGCCATGAGCCACCCTGAGTCGCCATCCAATGGCTGGCAAGTGACTGCCTCACCCGGGAAGAGTGCAATGATCACAATACCAACATGGGCCAGTGAAGTGACATCCTCCACAACTAGACTGAAGAACAAAAGGACAGTAACTTGTCTGTTCCCCTTCTCCAATTCCCCAACGTTGTTCCCCTCCCCCAATCCCCAATAAAATCTTAAAAAAAAAAGATGTGTGTGTATGAATTGCTAAAATATATTAAGAAAATTAATGATTTCATGATTCCATTAAGAAACCACATGATTACATATAAATAAGTCTGAAAGGATATAAATAAAATTGAATTATAATTGATTTTCTTTTCCTCATTATTAATGTATTATCTGAACTTTTAAAATGAGCATGTGTGTTTTTAATTTTATCAGGAAAAATGTAAGCTAGTCGTTCTCTTTTTGAAGTCAGTTCAGATTTAGCATATTGGTTAAAAGTGTGAACTCTGGTATCAGCCAGAGTTTGACTTCATCGTTTCCTGGCTTTTTGACATAGGTATAGTAATTTGACCTCTGGTAGCCTTGGTTTTCTCATCTACATAATATGATAATAACAGAACCTACATCTTGAGAATTTTGAGGATTAAATGAGATATCGGATGTCCAGTGCTTAGCACAGTGCCTGGACATAGTAAGTGCTTGATAAATGTTAGATCTTATTAGTACTATTTTTCCCTTTTTTAAAGATCCATTTATGCACACATACTCCCAAAACCTTCCCTTGGCAAAAGAATAGCAACAATAGCAATTAAAAAACAAAATAGTGGACTAATGGCCTTGGGTAAGTATCAAATTGAAAAGAAATAAGATCAAGGTTTCCAAAACTCCCCACAATTAGAGTAGACAAAAGAAATTTGGAAAAAAGTCCATGGTGTTAAATCTATGATATTATTCTGTAGAGACTAGCTGTGAATTGTCTGCACAGTTCTTCTTTAATGCAGATGTCTCTCAAATTGTTGTCTGTCTTATTTCTTTGTGACAGGACACTTGAATTAGCTTTAGCAAAAGAGAGATGGAGGAGCCATAGAACATTAAAGGATGAATTCAGGAAGACCCGAGACCATGGAGAACTTGCCTGCTCTCTACACTATTTTCCAAGGAGAGGTATATTCTTTTGGCTTTGAAAACCTACCATTTATGTTAAGCATAGATTGAGGGTGAAAAAAGCAACTGGGTTTGGAGCTCCTGTTGGTTTGAGAATATCTTGAGCATTATAGTTTCAACAGGAAGGGCCAGTGGAGCATCTGACCATCACATGTACTCCCTCTAAGCTCCAGACTTCTAACTGCATACGTGACATCGTCATTTGGATACCTCACAGCATCTCTGATTTATGTTTTAAACTGAATTTTTTATTTTCTCACCAAATTTGTTCTTCTAGTCTTTCTCATTTCAGCAAATGGAACCACTATCCTTTCAGGTTCCCATGCTAGAAATCTGGGCATCATTCATGATTTTTTCTCTTAATTTGATCTTGATTTCCCCTCTCTCTCCAGACCATCAGCAAGTCCTATCACGTCTACCTCCCAGATATATCCCTGGTCTGTATACTTCTTTATCATGGCACCCCTTTAGTTCAAGCTCTCCATGTCTTGTCTGGCACTTACTGGGTTCCCTACTTCTATTGTAGTCCCTGACTCCAATCTGTTCTTCACATCACAGCCAGAACAACCTTTTTTTTTTTTAAACTGATTAGACCGTACTGCTTTCTCATAGCTCTTCTAGGATTCTCATTATACTTGAATACATCCAAACTCTGTTGTGTCATGACTTACTTGACTTAGCCTCTGCTTAATCTGACAGTGTTGTTTTGTTCTACTCTACTTGTTCCCCAGCCATTCTGGCCTCCTTACAGCTCTGAACATTGTAAGCTTGCTTCCTTCTCAGGACTTTTGCATATACTGTTGCTTCTAACCCCTTTCCCACCAACTTCTCTTTATCTTTTAGGTCTAAGCCCTCATGTCATCTCTTCGGAGATCTTTTTCCCACCATAAGTAAATATAAGCAAATAGCTTCACCCTGCATTTATTTGTGTACTTCTTTAATGTCTGTCTTCTTCACACAACACTAAGCTCCATGACAGAGCCCTGTCTGGTTTGTTCACTATTGTCTATGTTAATCCCAGGTGGGTGGGTAGAAAATAATAGGTTCTCAGTACATCTTTGGTGACTGAATGAATGATCAACCTTTGAGGGAGAAGGCATTGTATGTGTTTCGAGAGCAGAGGCTTTCAGACAAAACCTGGATTCCAGTCTTAAGTCTTACACTTACTGTGTGATTCTTGAGACCGTCACTTGATCATGTGAGCTTCAGTTTTCTTATTTGTTAAATGGAGATAGTAACTACTTCCATAGGGTTGCGACGATGGTTAAATAAACACACACACACACATGCAAAAGCACAATGCCTGTGACATAGTAGGAATTCATTAATATTATCTCCCTTGTCTTGAAGCAAAAGTAAAGCCAAAATATTGTTTTCAGTGCCTTACGAGTGCCTGTAGTAATATAACTATCATTTTTTATGGCATTTATACTAGCTTTGAGGTTGACAAAAGTTTCACCTCCTAGTAATGGGAGGCCTTTGAGGACACACTTTGTGACTGCCAGTTGTTTATAGATAATTGTGGTCCTTCATCCCAACTTGTAATACAATAGTCAAGACACAAAGGGTGATAACATTCTAACAAATAGGGAACAACTCTGCTCTTCAGACCCTTTGTCCTTTAAGGCCCACAGTACCCCCAAAGGTTAAGGTACCATAGCTCAGGATAAGGAAGTGGTAACACTGGAGATGAAATTGACTTTTCTGGTTACGAAGCCCTTGCTTGTCAGGTGTTACACAAAAGAAAGAGAAGAGCACTCTGCCCTCTGCAGACAGACTCAGATTTCTAGTAAAATGGCTTCTGACCTACAGCTTTTTCTTGTATGAGATGGGGCTTGAATTAGTGTAGGTTTTATATTTTACTACCAAGGATGGATGGGGTAGGGTAATTTCAGCAAGAACTTTATAGTTCTAGCATAGAACTTCAGGAGCACATTTTGAAAAATGATGGTTTAGAAGTGACTACAATTAGGGAAAGAAATTTCATGATAAATTGCAAGGAGAAACTTTTTCTGAATTTTCATCCAACAAACATTTAATGAGTGCCTTGTATTGACAAAGAAGACCTGGTTACATTAAAGTTAAAAAAATTTTTTGTAAGTCTAATGTATGTTATACCTTTAACACATTCTAGATCATTGACTCTCTCCAAAGAAATTGTTAACCTCATTTTATGGATAAGCAAACTTCTCAGAAGTTAAGTAATTGCCCAGATGGTTATTAAATGGCAAAGCTGGGATTCTAAATCAAGTTCTCTGTCCAAGTCTATTTTCTGCTACACTGCAGCTGGGATTGTCCAACTTACATAAATGCATTGAGGAACCGAAAGACCCATGAAAACTCTTGACTGAACTGAGGTATAGGAGGAAGGTAGTTGTAAATCTGATGGTTCCATGGTCATTTGTTTGTACTTCTATTATGGCATCAATTTTTTAATTGTTTAATTGTTACTTGTATATATGTATGTCTCTCCTCCATCAAAATTGTCAGTTACTGAAAAGCAGAGGCCATGGTTCTCTCATGTATCTTGGTAACTACTTCAAATTCATTTTAAAATAGGCTGGACATCTGTTTTTTTTAAGTTGTTTTTATTTTACATTACCTGACATGGCACCTTGCATGTAGGTGTTCAGTAAATGTTTGATTTAAATTGATCCCAAGCCTCTTAGTTCCAGTTGTCTTTGAAGAAGCTATTGGTGCAACCCATATCCTAGCATTTCTTCCCTTTAGCACAGCGGTTCTCAACCTGTGGGTCGCAACCCCTTTGGGGGTCGAACGACCCTTTCACAGGGGTTGCCTAAGACCATCGGAAAACAAAAAGATATTTACATTACGATTCATAACAGTAGCAAAATTACAGTTATAGAGTAGCAACGAAAATAATTTTATGATTGGGGGTCACCACAACATGAGGAACTGTATTAAGGGATCGCGGCATTAGGAAGGTTGAGAACTGCTGCTTTAGCAGGTTCAGCAGGGCTGGAGGGCCCAGTGACTGAATAGTTGAGAAGCCAGTATTTATCCTTCTCTTGTCCTCTGAGAGACATCTTGGTGCCAGAGTCCATTAAGCATGGTAGGGGGTACAGCATAGCAGTGGGATTTGGGGTTTGGGTTAGCCTAGCTGTAGCCTGAGGGGAAATCCTGAGGGGAGATTGCTGTTGGTAAGGTGGAAATAGCATTGGCCTAGACGTCAGAAACCTGTTCTCTACCTGGCCATGCTACTTTCCAACTTTGTGACTGGACAAGCAACTTATGTCTCTGAGCCTCAAATGCCTCATTTACATATGGGGATAACTAGTTTCAAGGCCAATGTAACCTCTAATCTGAAGATGGTAAATTCATTTTACCCCAAGCCCTGAGTTTAGTTGAGATAATTACTGAGTTTTTTTCCCCTGAGCTATTTGACTAATTATTCTTGGGACACCAGGGCAGACTGTGTGATCATCTACAGCAGGTGCCGTTCTGTTAATTTCAACTCTATCTGCACCGTAGAAGACACAGTGATGGAAACACCTGGTGCTGGAAATAGGCAAGAATGCCTTTTCTTAACTCAACACTCGAGTGCATCCGTTCTGGAGCATATTAACCTTTCCTTTTGGGAGAGGCCAAATTAAGGTCTGTTTTGATATTTCCTCAAAAGATTATAATGTGACACTGCAGCTTCAGAATTGAAAAGTGAGATTGTCTTAATTTACAGCAGCAAGGCGAGTTGGGCCCCAACTCCCAGATGCTGCTTTTAAGTTTGTTAGATAATTATGCCCTTTAATAATGTTATTATGCAATTCGAAACACCTTAGTCCTCTTTCTAGAACCCTGGAGCAAAAGCCCAAGTGCCTTTAGTTGGATTCAGAAAGAAGGGACTTGCTTTTATTAAAAATTTGAAATCATCTTCTTGATCCATGTGGCCCTGTCTTACAGAGAACGATTTGCTGAACTCGAGTAAGCTCTTCCTATCTCTGATCTTCACTTTTCTTATTTGAAAAATGACAGGACTGGACCAGCTAATCTCTACAGTCCTTCCTCCAGTTCCACCTTGCTTTGATTTTAAATGCTAGAATGTGCCTGCTTGTACTCTTTCTTTGGGACTATCTGGTCCCTACCCCAGCAAAGCATGTCCATCAATCTAAAACAGGAGTGTTCAAACTTTTGGTTCTTAACTCATTCTTTTTTTATTTTTAAAGATTTTTATTGGGGAATTGGGGTGGGGAACAGTGTTGGGGGAATTGGGGAAGGGGAACATTGCATTTTTTCAGGACCCATCAGCTACAAGTCAAATTGTTGTCCCTCAATCTTAGTTGTGGAGGGCGCAGCTCAGCTCCAAGTCCAGTCGCCACTACTAATCTAGTTGCAGGGGGGCGAGGGGGGATGTAGTCCACCATCCCATGTGGGAGTCCAACCGGCAACCTTGCTGCTAACAGCACGCGCTCTCACCAGTTCAGTGGCAGCTCAGCTTGGGCACAGCTCACTGGCCCATGTGGGACTCAAACCGGTAACCTGTTGCTCAGAGCTTGCGCTCTTAACCCACTGAGCCACTTGGCCAGCCCCTTGATCCATTCTTAATGCTCTATCTTGGAGTGTTAGTTCAAGTGCTCGTCCCAATATCCTCATTAAGAAATGAAGAGAATGGATATTTTAATCCTAATATTGAAGTGAGTAGTGATGCTATTTGGTGAAGTAGGAGGCATGGGACTAGAAGTCAAGGGACCTAGGGATTCTGTTCAGCTTGTATCTATTGGGTCGTCGGGAAAGTCGTGATGCATTTCTGCATTGAAAAACATAGAAAAACACCTCATGACTTTCCCGACGACCCAATAAGTTAGTTGTGTGCCTTTCCACTAGTCACTACCTTTCTGTGTTTCAGTGTCTTGGACTGTAAATTATTAAAAAGTTACAATTTATTAAATGTACATTGTGTGCCAGATACCAGTGCCTAGCACTTTATGTGCATCATTTGTTATCTGTAGCAGCAGAGTGAGCACAATGGGAACTTAGGCCCTGAAAGGCAAGTTCAAGATCCCACAGGTAGGAAGTGGCAGAGCTGGGATTGGAAGCCACACCTTTCACTCCGAATCTGTGCTCTTTCTTTCTACACCTATGTTATTTCACCTCATCTTCAACATGGGAACCTACCATTTCATACTTCCTAAGAGGGTTGCCAGGAGCAGATATCAACAGTCACAATGATTTTGGCTGCTAGAATTTTATAGTTAAAGAGAAGCTATGAACATCTCTACTCTGGTTTGGACTTCCTGGGTTCAGATCCTAGCACTGCTACCTATTAGCTTTGAACATTGAGCAAGTTACTTAGTCTCTGCATGCATCAGTTTTGTCATCTATCAGATGAACATAATAATAGTAACGACATCCGTATGGTGTCATGAGGATTATGTAAAGCACTTTGAAGAGTGTTTTGCATGGAGTGAGAATTCAGTATGTATCAGTGAATAGCAGTACAGCAGGGATCGGCTTATTCTGTCCTCTTGTTTTGTTGTGATGCTGAAACAGTGATTGCCCAAAATGAAACAACTAATTAAAGTCACTGAAAAGAGTAAAGTTTATATATATGTGATTGTATTCAATATTTTACAAAAAATAATAATGAATGTAGGATAAATATAGTATGTAGTGACAACTTTATTTTTTTTGTTATTTTTTAAAGATTTTTATTGGGGAATTGAGGGAGGGGAACAGACAAGTTGCTGTCCTTTTGTTCTTCAGTCTAGTTGTGGAGGACGTTGCTTCACTGGCCCATGTTGGTATTGTGATCGTTGTGCTCTTCCCGGCTGAGGCAGTTGGTTGCTGGCCATTGGACGGCAGTTCACGCTGGCTGCGGGCCACTCACGGTAGCTTACAGCGGCCCGCTGCAGCCTATGCAGTCGCCGGCTACTCACGGCAGCCCAACTCCCAGTTGAGCTGTTGTTCACCATCTTAGCTGTAGAGGGCACAGCGTCACGCCCATGTGGCATCCGAACCAGGGTTCCTGCTTCTCAGAGCTCACGCTCCCAAGCCAACTCTTAGCCAACGAGCTACTCGGCCGGCCCTGTAGTGACAACTTTAATCAATCCCAATCCACAGGTGAGGGCATGGGCTAGAGGAAAGAGGGGAGGACAGAGGTAGAGGTAGTCTGGCGTAATGATTTATCTGACGAGGGATCTGGGCCTTTCATACTATTACATAGTAACACAGTATATAGACTGATAAACTTCTAACTTCTCCTATCTTAGGTCAACTCTGCATAAGACTTGAGGACAGTCCTTTTCCTCTCTGATTACATCATCTCAGGTTCTGTCAGATGTCTGTGTGTTGGCTTTTTCTCTAATTATCTTGATAAAACTAAGACTGGTTTGAAGTGAACTAGAGCAGGCTATATGGTCTGGTTTGATCTGAGGTTTAAGAAAAAGGGATGTCCTACATGATCTATCCAAAATTATTAAAGTTCTCTGTATTGGGATTGGAGGCCTCAGTCCCAGCTAGTATAAAGCGTAACTTTATTACCTGATTTTCTGCTGTTTGTTGTTCTTTGGTTCACATACTGGTTTCAATAGGTGTGGGATTTGGGCATCCCTAGGTACTGTCATGCCATTTGACAGCAGTCCAATCTCACCAATGTTTTGGGTTCGCACATACTTGTTAGTCTAAATTTCAAAAAGATCAAAAGGAATATTTGACAGAACATCATTGTGAGGCAGTTTTGCAGCAGACAGATGCAGTCAGTACCAAGTAGAAATTCAGGGAGCATAGGTTAAATGCTACAGAAGAGAGAATCTCATTTGTGTGACATTGATTCTTTTTTCTTTTTTGTCTTTATAGGTTGCTATGGTGACAGACTATGGAGCCTTTATCAAAATCCCAGGCTGTCGGAAGCAAGGTGGGAGCCTGTAACTTGAAATTCAGCCTTTCCATTCTACCCTCTTTGTTTTCACCCCTACCATATCCTAATTATAATCTCTACATTTTTTAGGCAGCAGTTTTGGTTTTGTTTTTGTATAGAGATATGAATACAGACAAGTGATGACAGTTCATTGTTAGCAGGTCTTAACTTAGAAGAATGGTGCTGTCTGACTGGGAGGGAGGGCTGGGGTATAGCTACTTGGGTTCACTTCTGGATCTAGCATCTTCCCTAAATTTCACCTGTGACCCTGGGCGAGTCACATGACCTCTTTGGACTTAGGATTTAGGGGAAGGCAAACTACTTACTCTCTAAGGCCGACATTGTGAGTTTTCCAGTTATGGTACATGGAAAGGAAATAGTGTTATAACCAATACAAATATAAATATATATAATGCTTTAAATTTTCTTTGCATATTGATAGGCATTTGTTGAACATTTTTGGAGAATCTCTTTCACATCTATCATCTTATTTGTTTCTCAAAACAATTGTGTTAAGTAGAAGAGTCAAGTTCCACAGACTGGTAGCCTGCTCAGAGTGGTTTAGCTAGGTAATGGCACAGCCAGGACTAGAACCCAAGCCTCCTGACTTCCAGTCTCGTGGGCTCTCTACTTCATCACACTGCTAGTGGATCCAGAGACTCAACTTGATAATTTCCTGTGCCGAAATAAACATTTATTAAAGATTTTAAGGGCCAACCGAGTGGCTCAGTTGGTTAAGAGCTCGCTCAAGAGTTTGAGCTCTGAGCAACAGCGGTTCAAGTCCCGGCCCGAGCTGAGCAGCCACTGAGCTGCCAACAGGTGGCAGGATGGCTCAGCTAAAAAAAAAAAGATTTTAATGGAAGAGTGTATCCATAAGGATGTTAATAGAAGAGAATATAGAATAAAATAAAAGTTAAAAACTTTATTGCAAAAATTATCATAAGCAAAATTAAGTTGGAAAAAAGAATTTAGTAGATATGACAAAGGACTGACGGAAAGGGCAAAGTTGGAAAAGGGGACAAGTGTATGAAAAGAATTCACAGGAGTAAAAAATAGCAGTTGGTCAATAAATACCTTTAAAGATGCTCATTCTCAGTATTGATTTAAAAATAACTTAAACTGTGGAACATCCACACAGTGGAGTACTGCTCAGCCATAAAAAAGAGTGAGAATGAAGTATTGATACGTGCAACAATCTAGATCAGTCTCAGAATTATACTAAGTGAAAAAAAGCTAATCCCAAAAGGTTATATACTTTACGATTCCATTTGTATAATATTCTTTTTGTAACAGTTTTATTGAGGTATAATTCACATACCATACATTTTACCCAAACTATACATAAAATTCAGTGTTTTTTTAGCATGTTCACAGAGTTTTGCAACCATCTCCACAATCTAATTTGAGAACGTTTTTGTCACTCCCTAAAGAGTACCTATTAATAGTCACTCCAAATTTTCTATTACCCTTTCCTTCCCCACTCCTGTCCTCCTCCCTATCTGACCTTAGGCAACTACTAGTGTGCTTTCTGTATTTTCACGTTTGGTCTTTTGTGATTGTCTCCCTTCACTTAGCATGTCTTCAAGGTTTATTCATTTTGTAGCAGGAATCAGTACTTCATTCCTTTTCGTTGCCATTCCAAATTGTGGTATAGAATCAACAACCAGTTCTCCAATTCTCTGATTCTTTTCATTTTCTGATACCAACTAGGTATCTTACAGTTCAATTCTGACACTATCTGAAGGTGGTATCAGACTCCATAGGTTTAGGGGCTTAGTCCCACAAGACTGCCCTCGTTTCAGATGCCAGTCGCAAGTATGGAGTCCCCTCCCAGGTTACCCACACTTCTATCCAGCTTGGCTACAGATTTAAAGGTTCCCACACCATCGTCCCAAATTTCAATAATTTGCTAGAGCAACTCAAAGAATTCAAGAAAATACTATGCTTACTATTACAGTTTATTATAAAGAACACAAATAAACAGACAGATAAGGAAGTGTACATAGGGCGAGGTCCGAAAGGGTCCCAAGTGCAAGAGCCTCTGTCTCTGTGGCATTGAGGGGCATCACCCTCTTGGCCTGTGGATATATTTGCCAACTCAGAAGCGCTCCAAACCTTACCGTTTAGGGGTTTTTATGGGCATTCCATTATGTAAGCGTGATTGGTTAAGTCATTGGCCATTGGTGATTTAACTCAATCTCGAGCTCCTCTTTCCTCCCTGGAAATCAGAGGATGGGGCTGAAAGTTCCAACCCTCTAATCATATGATTGGTTCCTCAGGTGGTTACCAGCCCCCATCTTGAAGCCCTCTAGGGGCCTACCAGTAGTCACCTCAGAGCATAAACTTGGCTAGGGATGAGAGGGGCTTGTATAAATAATAAGACGTGCCTGTCACTCAGGAAATTCCGAGTTTGGAAGCTCGTGCCAGAAACCAGGGACAAAGACCAAATATGTATTTTTCTTTTTTTTCTTTTTTTATTGGGGAACAGTGTATTTTTCCAGGACCCATCGGCTCCAAGTCAAGTAGTTCTTTCATTCTAGTTGTGGAGGGCACAACTCAGTGGCCCATGTGGGGAATGAACCAGCAACCTTGGTGTTATGAGCACTGTGCTCTAACCAACTGAGCTAATTGGCCACCCCCAAATATGTATTTCTTATACAACAGTATCAATGCTGGTATTCTGGTTGTAATAATGTACTATAGTTTTGTAAAATGTCACCATTGGAGGAAACTGGGTAAAGGGTACACAGGATCTCTCTGTATTATTTCTTTCAATTATAGGTGAATCTAAAATTATCTTAAAATGTTTTTAAAAAGTGATTTAAAACATGTATAGGATCTTTGAAATTAACAAATATTAAAAAGATTGTTCCTTATACAATCTTTTGGAAATGGGTATTGCCAGCAATAGTTTTAGTTATTATTGGGAGCATAAATAGTTATACTTCAGCAATATCTATTAAGATTTTACATATGCTTACCCTTTAATTTCGCAATTCTTTCGGGAATTTAGTTTGCGATATAGAATTAGATAAAATATGTACATCTATGCAGTGGACCATGCAGATGTAAAAAGAATGATAACTGTATTTCTAACAAACTTTGCTGCTGGTGCCTTCATTTTACCAGAAAAGACCAATGGAAAGTTTTCATGCAATTCTACCACACTGATACCTTGCTGCTAGCAGTTGTGAGATACCACTGATTATAAGAAGCATTCCGATTTCAGAGATGTTAAAGTGAGGGCGGGGCGGGGGGATTGCTTCTTAGAATCAATGATTGAAGTGGAAAGTGTCCAAGATAATAAAATGAAAAAGCATGCTGCAGAAGAGTTTGTGTATCATGACCCTCAGCCCCCTTTTAAAGCATATGTACATATGCCAATGTATTTTAAAAATCACTGCATATGTTGAGAAGAAAGTCTGGAAGAATATCCAACAAATTGTTCACAGTAGTTACCTCTGGGGAGTTTGGTTTGCTAAGGGAGAGATGTACATGAAAGAGGGACTTAAATTTTTGAAAATTTTTAAAACAAAATTTTCTTTAAAATAAAGCCTGACAGCTCATCTTTGGATACTAAAGCCACCCTCTAGCCTTGGAGACAACTGTGCTGCAAATTGCATCTTGGCATTAAGAAACAGCTTACTAGTGGTTTCCAAGCCAGCAGTCAGCAATTCAGTCAAGGTTCTCATTTGATGTTGGCTGGGATTTAATGAGGTGGAACTCATCCCCATGCCTATAGGGCACGTACCTCTTTTGGTCTGAAGACAGATTTTCTTGTTAGTGTGCTTGCCATAGCTGCCAGTACCTGAAAGCCCCATCCTCACTTGAGCATTTATATGGCACTTTGGGGACTATGTGGGGATTAAAGGCCTGCCACTTTCCAGCAGTCAGTCTTCAACTCACTTGTGTTCTTACCCTGTCAGATGGTGCCTCTGATGGTGGCCACCAGCTTACGAGTGAATCTGTCCGCCTGACAGCTGTGCTGAGACCAGCCTTGGAGGGGAGGAGCTCAAGGAGCCAAGTAATTAGGTGGAAACTGAGTTCTGATCCAGGACTCTTCTGTAGGACGCTTCCATAGATGTATTAGTAACCTGAGCAGTTGACGTTCCCACAGTGTATTTTAGCTTCTCTGCTCTTAAAGGGAAGATTAAGTCTCATTGAAAGAACTGAGCTATGAAAGAATTCTGATCTACAGATTTTAACATTTTTGATTCAGGAAGGCAGACTCTATTTTGAGTTATTTTTCTCATACTTCTATTCTCAGAATTCTTTAACACTGAATTGAAGGTCCCTTCCTAGTATGAGGTCAGACAGTTAAGTTTGCGAACTCATCCTAGAAAAAGTGCTACCTACCTCATTGCTGAATGTCACTATGGTCACCTTCGAAGTATTCCCCTTGGGAAGCTATGCACCGACACCAGTGCCTGGTCCACCCTACAAAGCAATTTTGGAACTCTTTTTCTGGAATGGCCATCAGAGCTGTCGTTGTGTTACCCTTGATGTCCTGAAGGTCATCAAAATGTCTTTCTTTCAATATTTCCTTTATCTTCTGGTAAAGAAAGAAGTCATTGGGGGCCCAGAACAGGTGAGTAGGAAGGGTGTTCCAATACAGTTATTTGTTTCCTAGCTGAAAACTCCCTCACAGACAGTGTCGTATGAGCTGGTGCATTGTCGTGCATGAATGGCGAAAAGTTCAGGTTGTTTTCATCTAACTTTTTCACTCAGCCTTTTCAGTACTTCCAAATAGTAAACTTGGTTAACTGTCCAGTTGGTACACATGCGTAATGAACAATCTCTCTGATATCAAAAAGGTTAGCAACATCTTTGCAACAAGTTCATGAACTTAATTGTCAGACTACGTATTCACATCTAAACTAGATTTTCTTTCCCCTCTCGTGGAATTGTTCAACAGAACTTTCTGCAGTGATAGAAATGTTCTGTTTCTAATATGTTTTCTGACACAAATTGGGTGTCTTAACAATTCAATTAAATTCTGACACTAGCAACTTAGAGTTAGTCTCAGATCCACAAGTTAAAGAAGGTCAGTCCCACAATACTGCCCCCACTTTAGGTGCCATTTGCAAGTTCTGAGCCACCTGTACTTCCGACTGGCTTGATCGGGTTCCCATAACCCTCTCCACAAGTTTAATAATATGCTACAATAGCTCACAAAACTCAGGAAAAACACTTTTCTTATGTTTGCTGGTTTGTTATAAAGAATACAATAAAAACAGCCAATGAAAGAAAGAGATGCATACGGCAAGGTATAGGAGGGGCGCACACTGAGCTTCCATGTCCTCTCTGGCACTCCACCTTCCCAGCAAGCTGATGTGTTCACTAACCCAAAGCTCTCTGAATTTCATTATTCAAAGTTTGTGTAGAGCTCAGTCTCCAGCTCCTCCCCCTCTTTTCTGGAGGGCCGTGGGGTTGAAAGTTCCAACTCTGTAATCACTTGGTTGTTCTAGTGACTAACCCCATCCAGAGACTGTCTAGGGACCCCTACCCTAAGTAATTCATTCGCATAAACTGGTGTGATCAGAAAGGGCTTATCATGAATAACAAAAGACTCAATCATTAGGGGAATTTCAAGAGTTAGGAGTTTTGTGCAGGCACTGGGGACAAAGACTGAATATATTTTTGTATTATACCACATCTGTACTGTCCAGTACAGCAGGGACTGACATTTTAAATTTTGTTAATTTTAATTAATTTAAACTTAAAACAGTTACATGGCTAGTGACTATCATAGTGGACAGTGCAGCTCTATACATTTATGAAGTTCCTTTTTTCTCAAAATCCTTTGCCCACTAGCACTAAGCTGTGAAATTTTGAGAACAGAGATTATTCAATGTTATACTTTTATTTAAAGTGCTTTGCTTCTGGTAGAAGTGCAGATATTTTTAGAAATGGATTCAGTTTAGCACATAGTTATTGATTCTATTTTCTGGTCACTATCTTAGGTGGGAACACAGAGATAAGGAAACATAGTCCCGGCTGGTTTGATTCCCGGCCCAAGCTGAGCTGCCAACAGGTGGCAGGATGGCTCAGCTAAAAAAAAGAAAGAAAGAAAACATAGAGTCCCGACTTTCAGATTGTTCAGTGTCTAGAGATGCAAACAAATTACAATGTAGTGTAATAAAATGAGTGAAGTTGCAGTTAATCCATTGAACTGTGGAATAGTTAGGCTGTTGGGATGAGTCTTGGCCTCACATAATGCCTGAGGTATAGTGAGTACTCAGTAAATTTTATTAAATGAATACATGAATTCTAGTCCCAGCTCCACCATTTACTAGCCTCTTGACTTCAGCAAGTTGCTTAGTCCTTGAGCCATAGTTTCCTTATCTGGGAAGTAGAAAGGGAATGATGTGCATATTTTAGAGCTTCTTGACTGGCGGGATTATTTTATTCTTCCTTGGATTCATCTTTGCTTACAATATTGTGGATATTTAGTAAATGGTTGAATGAATCCATAATCCCAACAAGATAAAGGATGTGAAAGCACTTTAATTTATGTGCTTACGTTATTGTCATATACCATAGGTTGGAGATCTTATTTGAAAAGTCCAGAGAGGGAATTTAGACTCCCCCAAAGGTAAAGGGAGATCTTTTATTTTGACATTTTTTGGCTGCAGCTGTTCTCTCATGGTTTGTAATTTTTACCTCTTTCCTTTATTGTCAGTGGAAGTTGTGAAATAAATTAATGTTGAACTTAACATAGTAGTTGGGAGAATACTTTTAAGGGAACCGTAATAGGTTAACTCTGTCTTTCTCATATGGTGATTGAGATGCTAGCCCTTTCCAGGTTGTCAGAATTCTTTTTTTTCTTCTTTTACCAGCAGACACTCAGAGAGGACTCATTGTTTAAGTGTCACATTGGGTTTATTGAACAAGATGATGGATTTGATATGCCCTTTGGGCATTTATGGCTTAATGTCAGAAATCTAGGCACAGACTGCCCTGAAGCACTCACTCCCTTCCATGCGGCATGACAAGCAAAGCGTTTTTGTTTCTGTTTTGTTTTGGAGAAGGTGCTAGAACAGAATTAGATGTGTTTCTACTGTTTAAGATGAGATCATCTTTCTCCTTTTTTAATTGAACAGTTAACACAGATAAATAATAAATAAATGGAGAAATATCAGTATGAAGTAGGAGACCTGACAGACTCATATTCGAATTGTAGTTCTTTCTTTGTCAGCTCTGTGATGGTGGACTATTTGCTTAACTTTTTTTTTTTTTTTTTTAAAGATTTTTATTGGGGAATTGGGGGAAGGGGAACAGACAAGCCGCTGTCGTTTTTGTTCTTCAGTCTAGTCGTGGAGGATGTCGCCCCACTGGCCCAAGCTGGCACCATCATTGCGCTCTTCTCGGGCGAGGCAGCTCAGTCGCCGGCTTCTGACGGCCGCTCACTGCGGCTGCTGGCCGCTCACGCTGGCTGCTGGCCGCTCACGCTGGCTGCTGGCCGCTCACGCTGGCTGCTGGCTACATAGGGTAGCCCATGGCAACCCACTGCCACAGGGAGTGCAGCCTACGCCGTCGCCGGCGACTCAATGGCAGCCCAGCTCCAGGTTGAGCTGTTGTCCAGCATCTTAGCTGTGGAGGGCAGTGTCACTGGCCCTCATATGTGGGATCCNAACCATCGCGCCACTCGGCCGGCCCTATTTGCTTAACTTTTAGACTGAGAGAAAGAGAATAATAAAGGTTAATAATTCTCTCAAAAAACTTTAGGGAGGGCAGTTATTATAGATATAAATTTTGTTTGATTTATCAGGTTTTTTCTTTAGTTTTGATTCTTGGTTTATATTCATTCAAAATAATTGTTTATTATATTTATTTATTTCAAAATAGATGTAGTTTCATCTATTAAAACATTTGAAAATAAAAAAAATTAAACTGTAATCCTGTACCCTAGTTTATTGTTATAGCATTTTGGATTATTTCTTTCTAATATTTAAAATCTATTTTCAGCATTTATAATCATATTATACAATTTTACATTGTATTTTTGTTATGTACATGGGAAAATGCTAGTTGCCTACAGTGCTTGGCACATAGTAGGCACTCAGTAAATATTGCTAACGAATGAATTATTGATGTATTTTCACATAATCTTTGGAACATCGTTTTTGATGGTCTATCAAGTGACTATACCATAGTTGACTTAACCATTAACCTATGTTGGAAATTAGATTGTTTCTAATTTTTTCTGTCTTAAAAATACATTGAATTTTTTTATGTAGATTGATTTTCCAAATGCGTATAGCTTTTTCTATGTATAAGATTATTTTCTTAGGACAGAGTCCAGAAGTGATTATGGGTCAAATTAATTATTAGTTAGAACTCTTTGTGCAAGGGACAGAAACACAGTTGAGAAATGTTTTCTTAATTTTGCTGGGGAGTGCAGGATAAATCTAGCTTCCACCAGGGCTGTATCAGGTGCTCAGTTTACACCCTCAGGGCTTTGTCTCTTGATTACTGATGCTCTTCTTTGCTCCCCTCTGGCCAACTCTTGCCGCTTGGTGGTTAAGATGGGCATTGGTAACTTTTTGTGGTTTATAACCCTGACAGTCTTGAGAAAGATGATTTGATTAACTAGTGCCTTGGGTTTGTCCCTGAACCAGTCAATTACTGTGGCGGGTGTGTGTGTGTGTGTGTGGGTGTGGGGGGGTACCTTTATTGACTAAACCTGTGTCATGTGCCCACAGTTGGGAGTTAGGTCAGCTCCAATCAAATTATATGGACTGATAAGCTTATTTCAGAATGTCAGGAAGGTGGTTCTCCCAGGAAAGGACCTAGGACAGACAGGAAAAGGATATCTATTATAAATATTTTATTAAATGTCATTAAGTTATTTAATGATTATTACATATTATAATATTAATTTTTAATTAATTTTATTAAATGTTTTTATCACTCTTGATAGCCATTGCTAAATGATTTCTAAAAAAAATTATGCTAGCCCTAGCAATATTTCTTATTTTACTATACTCTCATCAACATTGGATATTGTTATTTTCTAAATATTGTGGTAATTTAATAGATTAAAAATGGCACCTTATTTATATTTCCTTTTCTTACTTAACATCTATCATAATTATTTTCTGTACCTGTAATTTAAATGGCTGATTATTCTTCCTTTTCATAGATTTACCATAGTTTACCAAGCTGTTTTCTAATTATTGGTCATTTAGGGTGTTTAGAATTTTTATTTTTAACCTTTGTAGGTTATAATACTGCAGATATTTTTATATGCCCATAGGTTTTTGCCTCTATTGAGTTTTTTCTTTTGGAAAAATTCCAGTGATATTCTTGCATCAGGGATATAAAACATCTTTATGCCCTGTGCTTTTAAAGAAGTTTACAAACTTGTATTTTTACCAGAATTATGTAAGTGTAGTTATTGTATCACATCTTTACTAGCACTGAGCATTATTTTAAAGCATATTTGTTTGTTGATTAGATGTAAAAAAGGATCTCAAATTGTTCTAATTTGAAGTTTTAAGTTAATGAACATTTTTTTCAGTGAATCCCCAACTCCTATCTTCTCCTTAACTTGTTTCTTAGAGTATTAATACCAGATATACCCTGTGCTTTATTTTATTTCCTCTTCTTGTGCTCAGGTCTGGTCCATCGAACTCACATGTCATCCTGTCGTGTGGATAAGCCCTCTGAGATAGTGGATGTTGGAGACAAAGTGTGGGTGAAGCTTATAGGCCGAGAGGTAAGGTTCTGTGCACCTTTTATCTGGTTAGAAAGGACTAGGAAAGGCTGGGATTTTCTCTGTATTTCATGATGGTGAGTGTGTATATGTCATTAACTATGGCTGATAACCGTATTTTGAATCATGCCACCATACTCTGACCTGAATTTAAACCTTCTGGCTGGCTGTCCTGCAAACCCAGAAGGAATGTTGTGAATTACAGTAAGTGTGGTGCAATAAGTACACATTTATAAAACTTCCCTCCCTGAAGTTTACCCAATAATGGACGTGAAGAAAAAACAAAAAAGAACTAAAACTAAAAGGAGGGAAGAAAACATGATCTATGGGACTAGTCTTTTTTTTTCTTCTTTTTTTTTAAGCTGAGCCATCCTGCCACCTGTTGACAGCTCAGTGGCTGCTCAGCTCGGGCCAGGCATCAAACCGCTGTTGCTCAGAGCTCGCACTCTTGAGTGAGGTCTTAACCAACTGAGCCACTCAGCCGGCCCCGGGACTAGTCTTTAATAGTCTTTATCACAAACTTCAAAGAATTCCTGCCAGGCACACTTTAGTTTGGACCAAAAAAAAAAAGGACATAGAGTTTCCAGTTATTTTTCCTAATACCTGGCACCATGCACCATGGGGGAAGTGAGAAAGCTCTGAAGGACCCTGTTGACAACCCACTTGAGGGTATGCAGGCTGTGGGTGTGGGCAGACCACAAGAGAAATACGAACAGACAGTGAATGAGTCCTGCTCTTCTACTAGAGAATGGCAGAGGAGACAGGCCTGAAAGAGATATTCAACAGTATTTGAGTGCTTAATATGTGCCCTGTCTGAGGGATACAGAACGAACCAGACATAAATGACCCCAGCTATGATAGAGCTTATATAGAATATAACTGCAGGAGATAAATAAAAAGTAAAATTAAAATTATTAAAAATAATTACAGATTACAATAAGTGCTGTAATGGGTTCAAACAATATCAGAGGTAGATTTAGATAAAGTAGTCAGGAATGGGCTTTCTTAGGAGATGGTATATGAGCTGAGACCCAAACAAAAAGGAACTAGTCATGTGGAAAGTTGAGATGAGAATATTCCAGGCAAAGAGAATAGCTGATGGAAAGACCCTGAAGTGAAAAAGGGCTTCAAGTGCTGGAGGAAGCAAAAGATCACTGTGGCTAACAATTGTCTTCATGTTTAAAGAAACTCTAGATCAAGTCCAAAAGGTGATCTAGCCTACTGGAATGTTCTGAAACCCATTCTGGGCTCATGGATCTCGGAACCGATCATTATGCTAAACTTACCTAGAAGAAACAACTTTTTTTTTTTTTTTTTGCCTTCTTTCATAGGCCTTGGATTTCTAAGCAACCATTTTTGTCTTGCCCACAAGAGGGACAAGAAAACCATTTCCTAAAATTCTTCTGCTGCAGGATTTGCCTGTTATGCTTTTTAGTACTCCCAATGCTCCTAGCACCAGACCTTGGCTATGAGTTCAGTGTTTATTATAATGACAAAAATTTCGATTCTTAGTCAGATAATTCTAGACCAGCAGTCTAAATTATCTACTTTGAGCTTTTGGTGACTTTGCTTTTGTCTTTTTCAGATGAAAAATGATAGGATTAAAGTATCCCTCTCCATGAAAGTTGTCAACCAAGGGACTGGGAAAGACCTCGACCCCAACAACGTTATCATTGAGTAGGTAAAAAGTTTGCAAAGGCTCAAATCCTGCTACCTCTCAAACCACAGAATGTTGTAGTGAATCAGGCTGACACGGGAACTCTACCATTCTTAGACGGTGATACTGATGAGTTATGTGACCTTTCTGATCTTTGGTTTTTAGAGGTATGAAATGTTACAGATAACACTTCATTCACTGCATAGAGTTCTAAGATGAAATGCTAACTTGCAAAGCTCCTAGCATAGAGGTGCCCCATTGTTGGTTTTGTTTCCTTCCCCTTATTTTTTTTTTCTGCTTCTGCCCTTTTACCAGTTAGCCAACAGCGTTCATGAGGTACCTATTATTTGCCTCTCTCCTAGCACTGGGCTGAAAAAGGTAGAGACCATGTGGGAGGGGAGGGTAATCTAGGAGCAACTCCAGTGGGGTTTAGACGCCTGCATCTTGGGATACACTGGGTTCTGAACACAACACCTTACTTTTATTGGCTCCTCTGACCTTTCATTTAGGAATGGAAGATTTTCTGTCTATGAAGGATAATGTCTGATAATAAAGGGACTTTGACCTCTATCTCAAAGTCCTTCTTGAATATAAGCTAGTGATTTCTAACTAGGGGTTCTTAGATCCGTAAGATTCCCTTCAGGGAGTCTTGGGGGTTTATGAACTATTTCCAGTGTTTCAGAAAGCCAACCAAAATCATACATTTATCCTCAAGTTAACCATGATATTATTTTGTTGCTTTTGATGAAAAAATATTACACCATTTATCTCATGCTAATCACGGGTTCTTAGTGGCAGTTATGTTATTGATTTATTATAAGAAAAAAATAAATGTTGTTTGAGTCGGATCTTGGTGGTGAAAAGTTTGAAAACTCTTATGTTTATTGTTTTCAGCGAAATCACTTTAGATGTGAAAGAATTTTACCTAAAAGGAAGGGAAGTGATATTTATTGACTATATGCAAGGCAGTGTGTACATACATGAGTGCATCTAATTCTCATAACAACCTGCAAAGTGGGTGTTATCTCTACTTTATTTTCTATCCCTAGGGTCTGGCTTGATGCCTGGTAAGAACTCACCTGTGGTAGCAAATTATAGTGGGTCAGGGACTTGAATCTAGGTCTCCTGAAATTAAAGCTAATGCCTTTTTACCACATGATGCTTCTCTTCTAGCTGTTTCATGTGCCTTACAGAGTTTTTCACATTTCTGTAGTTTAGTTTCTAAATATTGACATGTTTGTAGGGCTAATTATTGACAAAACACTTTCCATTTACAGTAGAAATCGTTATAACTCAGCAATGTTATTTAACTCTGGCATTTACTGATTGCATTGTAATAAATTGCTTCTGCTCCAAATAATCCTGTGCTATACAGCAGTGAAATTTCCCAAAGCCGCCCTTATAAGGGTAAAATACAAAAACAAGTAAGATAAAAGAGTTATTTCTTTTAGGGGAAGGGAAGGGTAAGGGCTTTCTGGTTTTATGCTGGACGTGTCTCTCTCTATAGGCTGTTTATAGTAATAATGATGTGGCTGAACAGTAACTTTTGTTGTAAACTATTTCTAGAGTTGTGTCCAGGAAAGAAGCATGGCTTAGTGGAATGGTGACAGGTCTTAGAGTTAGAACTGAATCACAGGAGTCCCAGTTTTGCTTCATACAAGCATATGACTTTGAGCAGATCACCTAGCCTCTCTGAACCTCAACTTCTTCACTATAAAATGAGCTAATGATACCTACTTCTCAGAAATGAGGGAATGATTTAAATAAAATCTTATTTGTTTATTATCTAGTTTATTATCTGTAGTAGATATACTTGTCTAATATATAATAGCTACTTGTAGTTACTTTTAAAATGTCTCTTTGTTTTTCCTCTGAGATTATCACATCTTTTCTTTTGAAAGACTATATAAGATCCATAAGAACGGGCCACATCTTGTCTTATGTGAAGCAGTCATTTTGTTAGTGCGTCCATTTATTTCTTTGTTCAACAAGTATTTATTGGGTTCATATTCTCTTTGAGGTACAAGGGGAATACCAAGGGTTCTGCCTAAGGACCTTTACTGCCTAGTGTAGTGAAATAATTATTCAAATAACTTTAATATAAGGCCACATGTAATATATGCTAAAAGAGTAGTTTAAAGAAAGGATTCTAGGGATTAGCTTGAAGAGGAAGAGTTGATTTAAGACCCTGATCAGGAAGGAGGGGGCATTTGAGCTAGGTCTTGAATGGATAAGATTTTGTCAGGCAGCAGGGGAGGGAATGCTATTCCGGGCAGAAGAAATGGTTTGAGGAAAGGCATGTGGCAGGAAGGCACATGGCACATTCCGGAGTCTTGTTTAAGGAAAGAAAGGGATATGCTTAAGTATTAGAATATAAGCCTTGAAAGATGTGCTGTGGCCAGATTGTGGAGAGCTTTGAATAGCAGTCAAAGAATGTGAATTTTGTTTAAAGCCTCTGAGTGGGAAAGGCACCTGATCAGACTGTTCTCCAGGTCCCCATTCTCTGGCCTCTGTGATGCTCAGTATCTTCATGCTGTCTTTAGCCACCCACCGTTTGTCAGCTACCTTTCATTTGCCATCAAAACCTAGCTGTCTTCTATTTCATTCCCTCAGGCCCCAAGGAATTAACAAGGTCATACCATAAGTGATTCTGCAAATGGAAAGGGGCTAAAGTCAGTTTACTATTAGGTTTAGTCAGCATGGTATAGTCTTTAGAAAGAGGATTTACGATTTACCACACTGTTAGTATCCGTTTATATGCCTCCCTCCACTGCTAAACTATAAGCTCAGTGAGGAAAAGGACCATGTCCTATCATTTGAATATACTTACTCATATCACTAGTGCTAGTACCGGTGTTGAACTGAAAAGAGAAAGATTAATCCAACTATGTGTGCTGGATGGATTGGAGGAGGGAAATTGGAGGCAGGGAGACCAGTGAAGGGATTATTACTGTTTATGTGAAATGTAATGAGGCCTAACCTAGCATGATGGCGATGAGGACAGAAAGGGAGACATGTGGTGAGTGACACAGAGTATTGGGGTTGATTATAATGAGTGTTTGCTTAAGCTACAACTCACAGCCACTTGAAATGCAGCTCTACAAATGAGGATATCTGAAAGCCATGGAGTTTGTGATGGCTCGAGTTGTGTTCCCAAGATCCTGCCCAGTTTTCTTTTTTATTTTATTTTATTTTATTTTTTTCTTAGCTGTAGAGGGTGCAGTGTCACTGGCCCTCATGTGGGATCCGAACCAGCGGCCCTGCTGCTCAGAGCTCACACTCCCAAGCAAGCTCTTAACCAATGCACCACTTGGCTGGCCAGTTTTCTTTTTTTAAATTTTGCTTTATTGTGGTGAGAACACTTAACGTGAAATCTACCCTTTTAACAGTACAGTATAGTATTACTGACTGTAGGTACAATGTGGTACATTAGCTCTCTAGAACTTAATTTTTATATTTTTTTATTTTTTTTTAAAGATTTTATTGGGGAAGGGGAACAGTGTTGGGGAATTGGGGAGGGGGAACAGCCAAGTTGTTGTCCTTCAATCTTAGTTGTGGAGGGCGCAGCTAGCTCACCTCCAAGTTCAGTCGCCATTCAGCCGCCTGTCAGCAGCTTGCGGCCACTCAGCTCAAGGTGCCATGTTCAATCTTAGTTGCGGGTGGGCGTAGCCCACCATCCCATGTGGGAGTTGAACCGGAAACCTTGTTGCTAAGAGTGCACACTCTAACCACTGAGCCATCTGGCTGCCCTTTGGCAGCTTAGGGCAGCTCAGCTCAAGGTGCCGTGTTCAATCTTAGTTGCAGGTGGGCATAGCCCATCATCCCATGCGGGAGGGAGTTCAACCGGCAACCTTATTGTTAGGGGCATGTGCTCTCACCAGCTGAGACATCCTGCCACCTGTTGGCAGCTCAGCTCGGGGCACAGCATCACTGGCCCATGTGGGAATCAAACCGGAGACCCTGTTGCTCAGAGCTTGTGCTCTTAACCAACTGAGCCACTTGGCCGGCCCCCTAAAACTTATTAACCTTGTTTAAACTTTATGCCTGTTGGTAAGTAACTCCCCATTTCCCTCTCCACTCCCCTCATCTTGGTTTTTGTTATTGAAGTTTCACTCTTTGAAAGGGACTTTCTCATGTGACCCATCCCAGACTCCTATCATTTGAGTAAGATTCTTCTAGGGCAAAAGCTGGTTTTGAGCAGACGCTTTCTGGACTTAACTCATGTGCTTATCTGTACTGTCCAACTGGGTAACCACTAGTCACCTATGGCTATTTAAATGTAAATTAATTAAAATGGAATAAAATACAATATCCAATTCTTCAATCACTAACCACATTTGAAGTGCTCAGTGGCCACAGACACACATAGTCAGACATGATCAACAGTACAGACGTAACTTTATACATTTCCATCACTGCACTCTATTGGACAACGGTGTGCTAGACTCTGTGCTCCCCGCTTGGATACAGAGAAGAATAAGGCATAGACTTTACATTTGAAGTCCTATGCGTGGTACAGAGGATGAGGCAAAATGTAAACAAATCTATTATAACAAAATAAAATGAGTAATTAACTCTGCCTGTGTAGCAGGGAGCATTTCACAGAAGATGGATTAATTGAGCTGAACTTTGAAGAATGAATGGGACAAGAAGTGGAGTATCTTTGTCCTCTTCGTTTCTTCTCCTGAGCCTGCATATCCTATGAAACTATTGGCTAAAATACGTGAAGTGGGTAGCTTTGTTCTGCTTTGATATTGTTACCCTGCATTTCTCTGGACAATATGGCTCTTTTGGCAGAATAGTTCTCAATTTTTGCTGGGCTCTTAGAGACCTGGCAAATGGTTGGAAAATCTTAGGTGAGGTCAGAGTTCAGAGTTAAAGGGGTTCAGATGAAGAAAACACATTTTGGATGAAGAGCAAAGAAATTTCAACAAACATTTATTGATGCTCTTGCTTGCCACACCTTGGGCTAAGGTGCTAGGAAAACAAACCCAAGATATTGTAAAAAGGGCTCATGATCTAGAGAAGAAATATCACTATATGGTGTAATAAAATATGATATGTGCTAGGTTTGGAGTGTGTATAGGATACAGTTAGAGTTTGAAAGAGAGTGACTGAGGCGATACTCTTCAATTCAATGTTTTCTAAGTACCTACTCTGTGTAGGTATAGTGTGTTATAATAAAGGTGAGAAATAAGAGCTCTGACAACTGGGCGCTTAGGTTCTGCTGGCAGGAGAGTACTTGGTTAACTATAGAAAACTGGCAGTATCTACTAAAGCTGATGCCCTACAACCCAGTAAGCTCCATTCCTACCTGGAACTAGGCACTTCCCAGCAGAAATGTGTGTGCGTGTGTGTGTGTATTTCCTCTGAGATTATCACACCTTTTCTTTTGAAAGAATACATAAGATCCATGAGAACAGGGGCCACATCTTGTCTTTCTTATTTCCTACAGTGCCTCTGTGTGTGTGTGTGTGTGTGTGTGTGTGTGTGTAGATAGATAGGTATATAGATACACACACATACATATATATTTACCAAAAGACATGGGCTACAAAGTTCATAGAAGCACTGTTTCATAATAGAGATTACTCACATATTATTTGTTATTCACATCAATAACAAAATACAGCAAATTAGAACAACACTATAGATGGATTTCACAAACAGGCCAAAAAAGCCGGACACAGATGGGTCCATATATATCATTCCACTTATATAATTTACAAAAATAGGTAAAACTAATCTATGCTGTTAGAAATTAGAACACTGGTTACTCTTGCGGGGAGGTGTGGGAACTAGAGGGGCTTCCGAGGTGCTGGTAATGTTTTGTTGCTTTACCTGAGTACTGGTGACCTGGCTATGTTCAAATTGTGAAAATCAATCAAGTTGTATGCTTATGAACAGTTTTCTGTATGTAAATTATACTTCCATCAAAAATTTAGAATTTTTAAAGAGTGCTATGGAAATGTGAACAAAGATTGATTCTGGCTGAGGGGCTCAGGGAAGAAGACTCGATAGAAGGAGAGGTGGTCATTGAGCTGAAATGTTTGGGTGTAGTGAGGTAGGAAGAAAGAGGGAAAACAGAGCATTTCAGAGAGAAACTGCTTGATCAAAAGCAGCGAACCATCTGGAGACGGTACAATAGCCTGGTTTAGCTCCAGAGTATATTGTACAAGTAAAGATGAGGCTTGGAAAGTAGGTGAGAGGCAGCCTGCAAAAGGCCTCGAATACCAAGGCGTAAGGAACTTGGACATGATTTTCCAGGACGTCTTTGTCTTTTAAACGCATGAGCAACCTTGTAAGGGTTGTAGGGAGCTTCGCAAGGTAAGTCATTTATCTTTATCCCCTGTGCATCAGTGAGATGAAGTCTAGTTTCATTCATAATTATTAATTCAGAACCTTGTCCTGAATGAAAAAATTGTTTCACATTGTTGCTTTCACTGCTCGGCTCCTTGTGCCCAACGCTTTTCCTTCTTTCTCCCTCTACCTTCCAAAAACAAAACAAAAACCAAAAAAAAAAAAAAAACCAACCAGCATACAGCATTACTTTGTAGTATCTCTGGCCACATCTCTTCAGAGGGCCAACAGTCCGTATCGTTACAGGCAAGAAGAGAGGCGGAGGCGGTCCTTCCAGGATTACACTGGGCAGAAGATCACCCTCGAGGCTGTCTTGAACACCACCTGCAAGAAGTGTGGCTGTAAAGGTAAGGAAGTCTCTGCCGTGTCAGCCTTTCTTTCCTGTGGACGACGGTTTATGGGTTGAGGGAGACGGCCTAGTGTGACTTTAGCTCACTCTGGTTTTTAGCCCAGCGATGGCCTCAGCTGCTCATGCTATTATTCCTTCTAGACTCACATCAGAGTTCATGGCTTGCTGCTTCTTCTGTTTCCTTTTCTGAATTGCTGGCCCTGGTGGTGAGACTATACTATCATCACCTCTTCCCCTTCTCTGCAGCAGGTGCCCTTCCTGAGCTAGGCCCTACTTACTATGCCAGGAGGGTAAGAGGGTTAGATTATGATGACCACTCTAAATTTGATCTCCAAGGGCCATTATTGTCCTGCTGCAAGAATTAAGCAACTTGGAAAAATATTCCTTCAGGATACAAGTTAAACCCTCTCTTGCTCATCTCTTTAACTTCAGAGCTCTGAATACGGTATCCTTTTAGTAATAAAGAGCACACGCTGGTCACTTCCTTTTAGCTCTGTTTCCTCAGGTTTCTTCTAATCTTACTCAAATATTAAAGAGCTCTTTCAGCCCAACTTCCCTGGTTGGAGCTATAATGAGAGGGATTGCCAGGTTCTCATTTTCAGAGTGACCTCAATTCGTCACCCCTTCTCCCTAGCCTTTCGTCTACCTAACCTGTTGATTTTTCTACAGCGACTCGTTGAGGTTGTGGGGTTTAATTTTTCATTTATCATTAATGTTTTTATCATTTATCATTAATGTAGAGGGAAGAAGGGAAAAATAAAATTGAGAGAGAGACTACCTCCTTGGGAATCATGGGAGTATTCCTGTTATTTGGAAAACTCTATGCTGTATTCCCCTTACAGGCCCTATCACGCTTCTGAACTCAGAGCTGCAAAGCGGTTTCCATATTGCTTTTGTGATCTTGTCAAATTCTCTGTGCCCCTCAGACAGGATCTGTAACAAGCTCAGACAAAACCAGCTCTGTAGCATCTGTTAAAGGGGCCCTCAATAGCACTATAGACTCAGGGAAGGTGGGGTCATCTTACCTTCAACTTGTGTCCACCAGATGTTACATGAGGCAAAGAAGAATAATGAGAGATGGAATTTGGCCCAGTCAGCAAAGGTGGTTGGTTTTGGTGCAGCAGAAAGAGCACAGGGCAGGGAGGCACAAGACCCCAGGTAAATTTGAGCTCTGCTGCTATCTGTGTGACCTTGAGCTGCTCCTCCATGCTGGGCCTTCATATCCTCTGCAGATGCAGGGTTGGATTTGATGATCTCTAAGGCCCTTGCCAGACTTGACAGTCTGTGAATGTTGAGTGCCCCTAGGTGACTGTGCTCTGTGTGTTAGCTTGGATGCCACCTTCCTGCCAGCTACCTAAGAGCTAGCTTCCTTTAGGGCCTTGGCCTGCCACGGCTCCCTTTGCTAAGCATTCTGCTCTCTGGGGCAGCCTTTCGTTGTCAGGAATAAGTTCCAAATAGATCTTTAAAAATTACCAAACCCCATTGCTAATGGAGGGCAGCACAAGCCCGCATCCTCATATCCTCTGCCACTTCCAAAGCAGCATCAGTGTTTCTTTCCCACAGCTCTAGGACCAGCTGCTAGTCTGTCTCTGGTTGAGTGAGCAATGCCATCTTGACGTGACAGAAAATCTGTTCTGATTCCAACAGCTGCTCTGAATGAATTCAGTAATACCTCCTAAGCCAGCAAGCCCCTTCCAGGAACCTCTGAGGAAGATCCTTTGCTGAGAGGAAAGACTGCTTCTTCCCTGCCTACCTTTTCTACTTCTCTTTTGCAGGCCACTTTGCAAAAGACTGTTTCATGCAACCAGGTGGGACCAAATACTCTCTGATACCTGATGAAGAAGAGGAGAAGGAAGAGGCAAAGGCAGCAGAGTTTGAAAAGCCTGATCCCACAAAGAATTCTTCTAGAAAAAGAAAGAAGGTGAGTGCTATCTTGCTTTTATTTTATCATATATATTTTTTTGTTTTAAAATGAAAATGTACTTTTTGAAGAATGTTAGAAATACTGAAAAACATAAAGAATGTTAGGATCACCTGTCATCTTTCCACCCAGAGAAACTCATAGTATTTTTGGTATATTCTAATCTTTGGTATATGCTAATCTTTTATATACACACACACACGATGCTACATGTACATATAAACAAATTATGATCATACTAGGTATAGTTTATATTCTACTTTTCATTATACTTATCAAAATCATTTTCTAGCATCCTTAAGTGTTCTTCAAAAACCGGATTTAAGAGCAACAGCATTTGATGTTCTACCCTATGGCTGTGTGATGTTTATTTAATAATTTTTCTATTGCTGGATATTTTTGATTACTTTTAACCTAAATTTTTTGCCACATATCTTATTGTTTTCTTTGGATAAATTCCTAAATAAGATTACTGAGTTAGGGTTTTAAGGTTCTTGATACATTTTATCAAATTGTCTTTCTAGAAAGTACTTATCTGCACCCAGCAGTGGATAAGAGTGCCTGGCTGTTTTCTGTCTCCTACTTATAGCAGAAGAATTCATAAAACAAACATTGTGGTGCAGAAAAACAGTGCATTTGTAATTTGTAGCATGCTACACAGAGATACTTAAAAGATACCACTAACAGGACTTGGTGACTGACTAGATGTGAGATGGAAAGGAGAGGAAAATCAAAGACATTTTGGTTTCTATGTTAGGGGACTGGGAAGTTATTGCTGTCATTAAAATAAGTAATACAATTGAAGAACAAAACGACAGCAACTTGTCTGTTCCCCTTCCCCCAATTCCCCATCACTGTTCCCATCCTCCCAATTACCCAATAAAAATCTTTAAAAAAAATAATAATAAGTAATACAAGATAGAAGGATAGAAACTAGGTTTTTGGTTGTTGTTTTTATGGGGGTAGGCGTGAGGGTCGGGGTCTATGTGTGTAGGGAGGCTGAAAAAGAGAGAATGATAGTCATGACAGCCAACATTAATCAAGATTCTCTGAATCTGTTTCCTATTTGTAAAATGAGAATAATAAGCATCTACTTCATACGGTTGTTAGAATGCATATAAAACTGTAAGCACAGTGCCAGGCATACAGCAAAGCCAGTGTATGCCAGCTACTAGTAGCGGTTGCTTAAAAACACAGGCTTTGTGGTCAGAGACTGTTCCAAGGTGTTCTTTACAGATTCTGGATCTCAATCCCTTATCCAGTATATGACTTGCAAATATTTTCTCCCATTCTGTCAATTGCCCTTTCATTCTGTTGATAATGTCCTGTTTTGTTCTTCTGTTGTTTGTTGTTGTTTTTCAGGTGATATTTTTTTAAAAGTTGTGATGGAAAACACATAAAACCATCTTAACCATTTTTAAGTGTCTAGGTCAGTAGTAGTGTTAAGTAGTGTCTTTTGATGCATAAAATTTTTTATCTTGATAAAGTCCAACTTACCTATTTTTTTTCTTTTGTTTCCTATACTTTTGGTGTTATATGCAAGAAATCATTGCCAAATCCAATGTCATGAAACTTTTTCCATTTTAAGAGTTTTATAGTTTTTAACTTTCTATGTTTAGGTCTTTGATCCATTTTGAGGTTTGTTCTTTGTTTTGCTTGGCTTGGTTTTTTTGTTTATGGTGTGAAGTAAGGCTCCAGCTTTATATTTCGCATGTGGCTATCCAGTTTTCCCAGCACCCTTTGTTGAAAAGACTGCCCTTTCCCCATTGAGTGGTCTTGGCATCCTTGTCAAATCATTTGACCATATACCTGAGGGTTTATTTCTAGCTCTCTATTCTATTCCATTGGTCTATATGCTAGTGCCACACTTTTGATTATTCTTACTATGTAGTAAGTTTTGAAATCAGGAAATGTGAGCCATTCAACTTTGGGGTTTTTTTTTTTTTTTTAAGATTGTTTTGGCTATTTGGGGTTCCTTGAGATTCCATATGAATTTTAGGATGTATTTTCTATTTCTGCAAAAAATGTCTTTGGGATTTTAATAGGGTCACATCAGATCTATAGGTTGCTTTGTGTATTATTAATATCTTAATCATATGAAGTCTCCTAATCCATGAACACAGATGTTTTCCCATTTATTTGTGTTGCCTTTAATTTCATTAAGCAGCATTTTGTACTTTTCAGAGTACAGTCTTTGCCTCCTTGGTTAAGTTTATTCCTAGTATTCTTTTTGATGCTATTGTAAATGGAATTGTTTTCTTAATTTCCTTTTTGGATTGCTCATTGTTAGTATATAAAAATGCAAAAAAAAGAAAAAGAAAGAAAGAAAGGCAACTGATTTTGTATCCTGTAATTTTGCTAAATTAATTTATTCTAACAGGTTTTTGTGTGGTGTGTGTGTATGTAATCTATTTTATACATATATAAGATTATGTCTGCAAATAGGTAATTTTACTTCTTTAGTAGAGCTAGATTTTTAATTGTGATTCCATTTATATGTTCCAAGGATTTTTCTTTCTCTTTTAATCTTTTAGGATCTAAATGGTATTTGTCAGATTCCTAAAGTTCTGGATATCTCACTTCTGTGATCTTTGGTTAAGTTGTTTTTGCATTGCTTAATACACGTGGTGCAATTAGTTATTGCTTTGTTTCTAAAGCTCCTTTGAGATATTATTTCAGTTCACTAAAACAACTATTAAGCATTTGCTAGTATGAAGCTCTTTATGACCTACTTAGTCAACCCATTATCCTACCCTCCATTGCTCTTCACTTAGTAGAGGAATGGTCTGATGAACAATGGCAATAACAATCATCACACCTTAATTATTTTTTAAAGTACCTTTGTGTATATAAACTTCTAACTCATGAGACCTCTTTGATTAGAAGTGTTCTAGGGAGTTGAAACCATTAAAACTTCCCCGTTGATGCCCACTGTTTTTCCCAAGATATCCAGCATTATTGTTTTTTTCACCTCATTGTTAATCTCTTCATTATCTTTTATGCTTTATATTTGTTTAGCACTTACAGTTTATAAAATATTTTCATATTTTGTTTTATCCTTATACAATTCTATGAGGCAGCCAGCGTAGGTATTATTATCCCACTGTTTTATACATTAGGAAAATGGAGATTAAGATAAATTGTCTCACCTGAAGTCACTCAACTATAAGAGGAGATAGTGCAGAAATAAGGCAGGTCTAAAGATTACTAACCCAGTATCCTTTCTTATATACCACACTTCAACCGTTAATTCATTTAGCTCTTTAATTAATTTCCTCAACAAATATGTATTGAGTGCTGACGTGTCTGTTGTATATTGTGTTAGGTGCTTGACTTAGGATTCATAAGGCCCCGTTTTTGCTAGTTTTTGCTCTGTCACCAGGCAACCATCTGATGTTTTCTATTGATCTATTTCTGTTCACAACCGTAAATCAATATTCCAGGTCTCCTGTCTGTTTCCTTTCACCTTCTAAATCTTTTATTCCAACAGAAGATTGGCTTTCCCCACCAGTAAACTTTCGCCTGAGATGGATGTTTTGGAGTGCATGACAGAGGTAGATTTGGATACCTGTTCCAGCATTCATTGGCTCTGGGAGCCGAATGTGGAACCGAGCAGGTTCATCTGAAGGGAAATGACTTCAGCAGTCCATGTTGCCGAATAGGTCTGTGGGTAGCAGGAATGCCTAGTGTGTGGAGAGCATATGTGATGTACAACTCACAATGAAATAAAGGTCATACATAGCACCTACACTCTAGCAGTTAATAGCATAAGGAGAAAGATAAGCAACCAAGGTCCATCTGGTGGTAAAGGACAGACACGCCAAGGAGGGTATTGGATCTCACAGAAATCCAATGGCAGGAAATGAAGTGTGGCTGGGCCACTCAGAACTGGAATCTGAAAGCCAGGAACAGGCTATTAGGTTCTCATCTCTGCTTCTTCACAAGACTGCTTCATTGTCCCACTTATGTCTGCAGTCCAGTGGAAGAGAATGTCCTGTGTAAAGCCTCTCAGACAGAAGGAGCTAGGCAAGCTGGGGAACCAGGAAATGGCCCAGGATAAAGAAAGGGTGTCACCTGTTCCAAATAATGCCCGGCACACAATAGGCATGCACTATCTTTGAACAGACTATCATCTCTGCTATCTGTAGCGCCTCAGTTTCCTTCACTCAATGAGACCTGCCCTCGGTTTGGAGAGTAACAGGGCCTGACTCCTGCTGCCGCTGGTAGGTAGGTAATAACGAAGGGAGCAGGGGCAGGAATAAGAGATCTTCTCACCCTGAGCCCCCTACATTTTTTATTAAATATACATGTATTGAATGTATGCCCTTTCCCAAAAATCTAGTGTGCATTGGTTTAGTTCTATATACCTGTTTGGTACCATGACAGTTTTTGTCCCAGTGTCTGAAAATTGTAAGTCATTTTTGTTGGGCATAATTAGAACAAGAGGAAACTGTGTTGCGGATGGAAATGGGATATGATGTTGTTGGCAAAATAGGAATAGAGATTTTTGTAGTAAAGCCCTCGATAATGTTTCCATGAACCTGTGGTCTGTGCTTGCTGGCCTCTCACTTATCATATGCCATCATGGGTCTTTCTGAATCAATGCTCTATTGTGAGGAAACGTGTACCTCGGGGATCAGGCTGCCCACTGATTATAGTGAAGTTTAAATATATTTGATCCAGAATATTATTTTCTTCTGTTGATATAGCCACTATAATTACTTTCTGCTGTACTATATATAAAAGAACAGAAATAGATATAGGAATGTCATCCCTTCGTTGCAGTGGTGGCTCTGTCCTATTGTCCGAGAACTTCTGGTGCCTATCTGATAGAGAGAGAGAGAGAGGGAGGGAGGGAGGTTGCCAGTCCTGGGTCCATTCTGGTGGAGCACAGATTGTTGTCTAGAGTACTCTGCGCAGAAGCCTTCAGTGATTCCCCTTCTATGGAATCCAGTCTGAGTTAACCTTGAAGACTCTTCACAATCTGTCCAACTTCCCAG